CTTTCTTCTTTACCCTCTTAGCGCCCAACTTATTCACACCCAGAAGCAATACTAAGTATTCTGAATTTACTTCTGACACATAGGATTCAGCAATAGACAAATCTCAGACTATTTTCTTTGCTGGATTAGATCAACAACGCATTAAAGTTAGTGCTAACCAGTTGGTCATAGGAAACACAAGCAAAGCACAATGGGGGTTTCCATTCTTGGTTGTTAAGTCCTTGTATATCTGCTGTGGGAATAGTTTTCACTGCTACTTATCTCTACCAGATCTATTCTCCATACTTATTTTGTAAGATTTATATGGAAGTCCAGTAATTTCTACATACCATTATATTTTGCATGGCCAATGGCTTCTGACAGTTACTATCCCTCAAGATTCAAATGCTATTTTTATAGACATGTGTATACAAGCTATAAGGAATACTTTCTACAGCAATTAAAGATATATCATGTGTTCAAGTTCTTTCATATTTTTAAGTTTATTTCTCTGATAGCATTGTAAGAATTTATGGAATGAAATAGCCACTGACAATAATGATTATGTTATTGGGCATGTGGGCAATATATATCTAATACTATTTCCTTTGGTGTATGCCAAGTTCTCTGCCCAAAATGATTTTATTTGTTTTTATTGAACTAAAAAAAAGGAGACTAGAATGCTGCAAAGCAAAACTGCAGCCTCAGCTTTATCTGTATTTTCAATGCATCTGAGCTCCACAAAGATCCCACAGGCATTCTTAGAAAAGGATGAGTGGCTACAACATAGTGCTTTATTAGAAGAAAGGTCCATTTCCCCTTCTTTTCCTACCAAGCAAGATAAACTGGGACAATGTAGAAGTATCTGGGGGAGCTAAGGGATACGATGGAATATTTTGAGGGGTAAATACAGTTATTTTTATATATATGCACTTCTTTTTTGCATACTAATTGGTTATTTGTTTAGGAGTGAAACACTTCATATTCTCCAAGTTCCAAATGTGTTCAGTAACCCCCAAAAGTTGAAAAACATTGATTCATAATGATTTGACATAATTATGACAGTGTGTATCTGAGTAGAATAGGAAGGGAGATTAATGAGCTATAGGGTTCTTCATCAATCCGTATTCAAAGAGGGTGATTTGGAATCCATGGGGCTACTCACATAACATCTGTCAATGCTCCTTAAAGAACCTGTCATTCTTCTTGAGTTTTCACATACTCCTCTCATGAAAAACATTTGAGCTAAGGAAGTGTGACAAGTGCCTTGTAGTGAACTGCTTTTTCCCCTATGAATCCTGGCTGCTACACAGTTCTTATAAGCACTTTTCCTCCCATACAATACTTTAATTCGGGGAAATTGTAAGAGATCAAGTATCTCGACTTTCTTAATGTATCTTACAAACTAAGCCTAGACATAGTCCATTTATTTAATTTCAAATCCAGATTTAATAACACTTATGCAAAAATAAAAATTCATTATTTGCTAAAATTAAACATTAATTCAAAATACCAGCTATAGAAAACTGGATTATGGTATAGCCATATCTGTAAAGTGATCTTACTAACATCACTAAGGACACTAATTCTTTCAAGTCCATTACTGATCCCAGAACATTTACCATACTATCAGAAAAGTGATTCTAAGTTTAGATTCCTCCCCTTTATAGTTAAAGTAGAAAAAAATCTCCCTCTTTTATTATATCCTGAATAAAGTCAAGAAACTCTATTTTAAAGTTGCATTGTCCAAAGGAAAAACTGAGTCATTTATCTGGAAAATTAATAATTATAAATGAAGAGTAATACATTTGTCAAATGCATTCAACAAGTAATAAATTCAGAAGCTTAAAAACATTTTAGAGATGTTCTTAATAATAGGGCAGTTGATTTATAAAAGCAAAATAAAATGCAAAATTCTGCAAATAAGGAAACAGTGTGAATCAGCAGCAAAAATACATAGTGTATAACTAGGAGACTATCTGTGCTTTACTTTTGTGCTAATGAATGTATTTACAAACTATTTCATATTATGTATGGAGTAGTTATCTATCTTCGGTATTTAATATACTGAGGTTCAACTGGGCCCCAAATCTATCTAGAATGTAAGACAAACAATGGGTTCAAACACATCTTAGACAATCATGCCTTATGCCCAGTATTCTTAAATATTTTCATAAACGATTTAGATGAGGGGATAGAAAGAGAACTCATCAAATTTGCAGACAACACCAAACTGGAGGCAATAGCCAACATTCCAGAAGAGAGGCTCAAGATACAGAAGGATCTCGACAAACTCGAATACTGGACCTTATTTAATAAAATGAAATTCAATGGTGAGAAAAGTAAGGTTTTACACAAAGGCAAGAAAAACCAAATGCACAGATATGCAATGGGCGATACCCGGCTCAATAGTAGAAACTGAGAGGGATCTAGGAGTCCTAGTGGACAACCATTTAAATATAAGCCAGCAGTGCGCTGCAGCCAGCACATAAAGCTAGCACAGCCCTAGGCTACATTAATAGAGGGATAGAATCAAGATCCTGTGAAGTATTAGTACCCCTTTATAAGGCCATGGTAAAACCACACTTGAAATATTGCATTCAGTTTTGGTCACAATCTAAAAAAGACACTAAGATTCTAGAAAGACTGCGGAGAAGAGTACAAACATGATTAAGGGACTGGAGGCTGAAACATATGATGAATGATTGCATGAATTGGCTATATCTAGTCTAATGAAAAGAAGGACTAACATGATAGCAGTATTCCGATACTTGATGGGCTGCCACAAAGAAGGAATCAATCTGTTCTCCAAAACAGCTGATGGCAAAACATGAAGCAATGGATGGAAACTCATCAGAGAGAACCAACCTAAAAATAAGGAGAAATTTCTTGATAGTTAGAAAAATTAATTAGTGGAACAATTTGCCTACAGAAGTTATGAGTCTCCATCACTGGAGGTTTTCAAGAAGAGACTGGCAGTTATTTGTCTGAAATGGTATAAGCTCTCCTGGCTGAGCAGTGAGTTGTACTAGAAGACCTCCAAGGTCCCTTCCAACTCTGTTATTGTTATTATTTTGTTAAATCTCACCAAATTGTTATGTTGTTTCATTTTGACTTACCATAATTATGAGAATTCAATAACTGTATTTTATAATTCATAATTAGTGTACTTTCTAAACCAATAAACCATTATTTGTTAAATAAACCATGATCCAATAAACCATGTTTTAGGTCAGTGATGGCAAACCTTTTTGCCCAAAACGGAGCGCGTGCGCCGGAGTGCCGAAAACCCAAGGACCAGCTGGCTGGTGCACATGCCCGTGCCGTCCACCTGGTCTTCAGGTTTCTGGTGCTTCAGCATATACGAAGACCAACTGGTCTTTGGGTTTCCAGCGCTCCGGCACAGAGAAAGACCAGCTGGCCGACAGGCATGTGTGCGCTAGAAACCTGACGACCAGGTGGACACCACGCATGCCCACAGAGAGGGCTCTGTGTGCCACTTCTGGCACGTGTGCCATAGGTTCGCCATCACGGTTTTAGGTTAATCTGTGAATCCACTGCACAATACATAATCTAAACCAGAAAGTGTGCCCCCAAAGGTTTGGTCTGTAACTTGCAGCATGGATTAATTGGTACAGCAGCAAAGAGTTGCAGGAGCAATCCTCTAATAGCCTTTATCAAAGAACATCTGCCTTAGGGGACAAACATTGACTTGTGCTTTAGAAAAAAGATCTTTTTTTTAAACATAGCCAAGGGCAGAGTGATTTGTGACCCTGTATGATATATATTGTTTTATATTATTATTTCCCAATTTGAATGGGTGGTATTTACCTTACTATGTGATGGTTGTTTTTGAGGTTTGTATTGCAATCCTTGGATTTGTTGGCAATTGAAGGAGCTAATTAAACCTTAAACAAATAAGGATTTGCACATAGCTAACATACATTTAGACATTCATTTGTGAAAGCCTGGGTTAGGGAAATACCTTAATTTTTAGGTATTGCTCTAAACATTAAATAAATTTCTTGCATCCACACAGCCCATCACTGGTTGCTTTAAAGGTATTCCCTGTAATTCTTACGATTCCAAAAAAATGATGTGAAATTTGCTATTAGAGTGCACTTTTCCTCCAATTCTTCCTTTTTTAACCGATAAAAGGTGGATACCTTAACTCTGATTTTTTCTTTGATTCAGAATTACAAGCAAACTTGCAAAAATCTGTTTCAAAAAAACAAAGGAAGCAATAAGATTAGATGTAACAGTGCATCTGTGTAAGAATTAGGGAAACAAATAAATCTTTTGGAAAAAAGTCCAGCTTTGGTTTCAATTGAAGTTTGAATCCTAAGCTTATAAACTAGCAATATAAAACATTAATAATTTAATGGATATTAGTGCTTCTTTTTTTCCAAACACTTGAACTGTAAAAATAGTATCTATTTTTTTAAAAAATAACTTTTTAAAATCTAAAAGCAGCAACTTACATGCCCAGTGAAATATGTTTTGGAAAAAATTAAGACATAAAAAAGGAGGTCTTTAATCCATGTAAACCACGTTGTGTCCAACGATTTTGGTGGCATACAATTCATTGTGATAAATAAATAATAAATAAATCCAGAGAATTAAAATGGTAAAATAAATTTATTTTTTCTGAAATTTGTCACTTTTTTTGAATATCCAAAAATCAGGAATAAATGTTCTGCTGTTATAGTCATCTATGTTCAATAACTGCTGTTTCTTCAATTATTGTTATGCCTTCCATAAACCCTTCAATTCAATAAACATTTTTTGAGCAGTGAATTTAAATCATAAAAGTTCATTGTACAATTTTGCACTATTTCAAAAGACAAGAAACTTAAAGATGTGCAAACTAATATATGCCTCATATTAAGCATACATAACATATATTTTAATGTTATTTTAAAAGAAAGCAGAATTTCAAGCAATTTGCTTGAAAGGTTTACATTGCACCTAATTATTTTTTTTCCTTTAAAGAAACAGATCCACACTGTATAAATACTTACAGTCTGCAGCTACTTACAGTCTCAAGCAGTTTCCAGAAGGGTAGGAAAAGAAACTCAGCCCCAAGAAGTCATCAAGAAATATGTGATAAAAAATGCCCCACAAAACAAGATGCTGAAGATAGGGATGTTGCCCAAGGAAAACATCCTTGAGACGGCCAAATGCTTTCTGGGCTCATCAAAACACAAGTTTTGACAGCCACCGAGATACGTTCTAAGCCGGCTATTGTTTGAGACAACACAGCACAGCCCTTTTCTCCTCCCCTTATTACAGTGCATGAACATTATATGCATCTCAACCATTCGCCAGGGGAACATTAAGTTCTGTTTTCACAGTGGTTTTTGAGTAATAACAATGTGAATGTGCAGTCCAATCACTTTGCAGATGTAGACTTGCACCCTCCTAAAACCTACAGGTCAAACTGATTATTTCATTAAAATAGTTTGGGTCATATAACATTTTGTTCATATTTTTCCCCTTCCATTCTTCTCTACAATTGAAGGAAATGTCTCCTCTAATAGTCAAAGACAGGAGAATCACAATGATAGTCATTAAGAGAGAAATTCCACTGAAATAGTGTCTGTAATCTTAAGCATTTTTGTTAAGAAGTTTCACTGAATGAAGTGAGAATTATTTCTAATCAGGTCAGATAAAATTCAAAATTAAGCATCTTTGTTTTAATCACAAAACTTAAAACATTTTACAAAATTAATGTACAATACAGTGAAATAATTATGAATATAGCTTCTATTTAATAATATAGAGGTAGGTTAACAGAACTGACACTTGATCTCCTCTGTAAAATTCAAACAAGATGTTTCATACAATTGAAAAACTGATTATCATTCTCTTAGTGGCTATGATTCCCTCAAACAATAAATAACTACAACTGAACTGACACTGATTCATTTTTAAATGACTTTACAAGTACGTATTTCTTTGCTAAAGATTTACAAAACTTACTAATTCAGGAACAGAACCATTCTATTTCCCCTCTGTCCATGCTGATGCTCCTCAGACCATGCAGTTCCAGGGGCAGTGCAGCAGTTTCTGGAATAAACCCTCCAATCCAACAGGCTCTGTGTATGTTTTTCGGGACACAGAATGTGTGTCCCAAGCACAGTACTCTGACCTAAACAGTCAGGTCCAAGACACAGCTCCCTGACCAAAACACAATTCAATTTACGTCAGGAAACTGCAGAACTATGTCTTGAAATAGCATGATGGGAAGGGGGAGGGAGGGGGAGAACAGTTCCTGAGTTCTCCAGAACATTTCATTTGCAAATCTGTAAATTTTACAATCCCTATTTGGTACTAAAAACTGTGAAATGATTCCATTTTTAAATTAAAATTAAATTTGTACAATTTATAAATTAATTGCAGTATTATGGCATACACTTTTTAAAAATTAAACCTATATCTTTTTCTGAGTAGTGACAAATATCTTCTGATCTTATATTGACTAAGAAGGCATTTTTATAGGAAAATATTCCAGACTAGTGAATAAACCATGATTTAAACCATTAAAATAAATCTTTCTTAGTGATTTAAGTCATGACTTACAATTATTTGTCAGTCAGTGCAATACATTGGTTGGATGTAGAAGCAAGAATACCCAGTCAACTGTGAGCCATGGAAACTCACTGGATAACTTTGAAAGTTATTATTTCTCAGCTCAATCTACCCACCAGGTTGTTGCTGCAAGAAAAAGTGGTAAAAAGGCTAGATATGCAATCTTGAGTTCCTAAGAACAAAATATGAAGACATAAATCTAATAATAATCAAATCTAGATTGCTTCCTATTATAGGTGTTTGACCATGATATGCTAATCACTGATCTTAGCACTTGATAAAAGCAGTTACCAATTTGCACTTATTCTGGGGAGTTACAGGTTATAGTTTACTTTACCATGGAGATTTATGTGAGTTAATCACTCTCTCTCACCTCAACCAACTGCACAAGACTGCTATTGTGGGGAAAAATATGAGGCTGGTACATTGTCATTTGCATTCACCTTGAGCAACAAAAGGATACATATCTTAACAGCATACAATTTTAGCAGTAAACCAGATCACTTTGAAAATACAATATTTATTAATTAAAAATAAACCCTGTTTATATTTTCAGAATCATCTACAAGACGATTCTGTCAAAATTTGAAAATGGCAGATGGAGTATTATACATGTATTGACTTGGCATGCATGATCAAAAGGAGTGGGCTTGCAATGATGCTGTTTGCCATCTTGCCAATATTAACCAATCCTAATATTGACCAATATTCTGTAAATGCCAAGAGGCTGCTACTTTCTTATTGAACCCCATGTTTGCATTGATCTGAAATTATGTATGAAAAAGGCAATATTTCTTCTTGGACAATTATAAAGAAAAATACCAGTTTCATAAAGTTTTTGTACAAATTTCAATATAACCTTAAGATTTTAAATAGAGAACATGTATAAAAGGACAACTGAAATGACCAAATACTGCAGAAATGCATAAAATAAAAATGTTGCATGATGATGGAAAGGGGCTGTCAAAATAGTTTTCTACTCTATTTTATCATGCAAGAAAATGGAAGCTAAAGGATCAGAAATTTAAGACTGGAGTAAAGAATGTACTTCTTCACACAACATGTAACTAAACTATGGAATCCAGTATCAACAGATATAACAATGATTACTAACTTGAGAAAAGTAGCCATATTCAAGGAGGATAAAACTATCAGTATTAGAAATACTGTATTAAAAACATTATTTAGCATACCAATTGCATGGAGTAAAAACTCTTATATCCTTCTTTGGGGGTTCCCAGAAGCATTCTTTGGCCAGTGTTAAAAACACTGTAAACAGATAACATGTTCATTGGCACAAAACTGTTAACTTTTTTCTTGATTATATTATTCTGCAAAGTGGCATGTATACAAGAGTGGTAGTAATAATTATAATTAATATTAATCATCATAATTAGCATCATTGGGATATAATGTATGTTACCATTTGCACCTATATAAAGCAAGATTGCCCTTGGTTTTATTCAGAAAAGGTTGGTTCATCACACAAGATACTGCTTAACTTCCCTCTCCAAATGCAGCAGAAATACCAACAGACAAGGAATGCACTATCTGAAAACTAAATAATAGCCTGCACTACTTAAAGCTTATAAATAAGTTCCCAACTATATTAGGAATAAAGTCATAGCTGGGTGAAATTGTTCATAAAAGTTTACAGATAAAATCAGATTTCTACATTTAGAAGCAGCATAACTCACTTTTGTTACTAAAGCTATAACGGTGCAAGGGCTAATGAAAGAAATTAGTGAGCTGGCTGGACTAAAAATCTGGCTCCATATAAGCCAGTTGCCTGCATTAAAAAACTTAAAAACCTGGATCTGATTCAACAGGATTCATCTCTCCTCTACTTCTCCACTTCCTTTCCATTTGAAATACACTCTGTTCGGATCGCCAGGAATCACCCGCCTTTATATCTTCTATTCTTCCTCGTGGGTAGAAACTTCACCCCATTCTTCTCTTCTCCCTCCCTCCACAGCAACACCCCCTTCTAAGTCGTCCTTATCTGCTCTCGATTTTGTTTTATTTGTACCATTTACTATTCTATAGTTAACATTACTGCATCAGTATTATAATCTGCTGGGGCACTTGTCGCAGGCCCAGAGGCAGAATATAACCCAGATAGCAACCGGCCCTTTTCCTTTGATTTTAAACATCTGAACCTCGCTTGTTTTTTTTGTTTTTGTTTTGTTTTTTTTAAGTGTTGACTACTTAAGTAATATTTCCTTCCAGCACCGCCTCCGCCCCATAACATTTTCTTGATGTTGATATTGAGAGATTCTATGGAACGTAATTCTGTTATCCCGCCTTTTGCCTCTGCTTCGCCATTTCCCGGCCTTTCCATAAGTACTTTAAAATGAGCGCCCCCCCCCCCCCACCCCCCCCTTTGCAACCCTCGCCCCCCCCTTTTTCCCACGGGGCCGCGCCCCCCCCCCCCACAACCTATGTTCTCGCCGTCTCTCCCGCTTTCCCTCTACTCTTTGCTTCTGGACTCACCCGCCAGTCTCAGGCCATGTCATCGTGTGCGGATGGTGGACTCCTCTCCGGATCCTGAGAGAACGAACCGGCCACCCCCACAAGGCCCCGCTTTTTGAAACTTCTCTAGTGCTCTAGACACGACGAGCAGGTCCGGATACGATCTCCGAGGCTTCCTTTCCTCCCTCCCTCCCCCGTCTCCATTCCCAATGAAAATCAACGAAAATACATCTAAATCTCTTTGCAAAAGAGCCCCTAACAAGCACAGAAGTGAGGTGATACTTTGGTTCCTGCTAATGCACTTAACAATACGAAATGCTGTTCAGCCTTGTTTGCAGAAGTGTTTATCGTGCCTTTTGGGTGGGATTTGCAAAGTTTGCAGAAATAATAAATAATGCAAAGTGCAATTGGATATTGATAATTTTTGTCATTTTTACTTTTGCAAACACACATCCAGAAAATCTTTGTATTTGTGTAATCTCAATAAATGTCTTCTGATATTCACCAGTCTGCCACACTGGAAAATTTTCGCTCCTTTTCTCATAACATCATCTCCTGAGGCTGCCCAGTCAGTTACTGTGTCCTCCACTCCTCCTTCCAGTTTGTCAGTGTTGTTTTGTTAATGAAGCATTCAAAGCCCAGGCCAATCTTTTTTTTTCCAAAGCTATAGGCAAATCAATGCCTCCACTTTCAGAGATTTGCCACAGTATGGTGATTGGCTATTTATATAGCCTCAACCTTCTCCCATATGATGTCTAGATTTTCCAGCCAATTCATCTTTTTTAACAATACATATTTATCAGGTTTGTATTTTGATAGCTGAAGCAAAGCCAATACGTACTCTCACAGTCCCCACATAATTTTGTTTCCTTTTATCAGCCTAAAGGTATATTGACATCATGCTAAATTAAAATTTGTTTTTAGTGGGCATATAGGCTTGACTTGTTATCAAAATCCAGCATTGTGATTTGTACATAATTAATTGTAACTTAGGTCATTGTATGCATCAGACCAATTGCCAGTTAGGCAACAAAGTATAATTAATTAATCATAGCTTAGTGCATTTCTGAATTCAGCCACAAACCTCTATCTTTATAGGACTCCATGTGTCCCTTGAAATGCCTTAGATTCTACACTAGTGACTCAAAGATGCTGCCCAGAACTAA